TAGTTTCTGTCTATCTGTTACCATACTGAACTCATACCTCCATCACACTAATTCTACCTAGCCAAGCTCCACTGGCTCCATATCGCCGAACGGATCAATTTCAAGATCCTCACACTCGTTTTCAAATCCTTTCATGCCCTGGCACCTCCCTACCTCTCCAACCCATTTACCTCCCAACCCACAACCCTCTGCCTCCGCTCGACTGGCTCCGGCCTTCTGCATGTCCCTTGTGCCCTCCGTTCCACCATCGATGACCGCACCTTCAGCCACTACACCCCAAAATTCTGGAACACTCTTTCTCTATCCCTCCGCTTCCTTCCCCATCTTCAGGTTGTGCCTGAAGACCTTTCTTTTCAACCGTGCCTATGTACCCCTCCCCCTGGCTCGGCGTCATGCTCCACCACTGTCAAGAGTTCTGGGATGCCACCCTACATGAGGGGCACTATATAAATCCAAGTTGTTGTTGTTATTTGGCCTGCAGCCCAATGACTGGAAACATTCAAATCAGTTTTGAAGTCAAGAATGGCTTCAGAGATACCAGTTCTTTTGATGGATCTCAAATCCTCTGGAGGCAGTAGTTCCCATGATTCACCGCGCTGCCTCCAGTCAGAAACATTGTTGACCACAGCTTCATAGCATCAGTGGGGCTGGGGTTAGGCTCGATCCTATGGATAATATAATTACCCAATGGGACGTGTCACAAACTATGATCAACGGGTGGTAAATGGACTGTACAACTCATCGATACAAAACCATGCAAATTGGAATAAAGAATCAAATCCTCCCGTGCTGATGGAATTAAATTCTCTGCTGGTTGGAAGGCACCTGAATCCCAATAATTGTAGTTGAGGTACAGATCAGCTATGATCCAATAGAATGGCAGAATAGCATTGAGGGGCTGAATGCCCTATTCTTGTCATGTTCCAATATTCACCTTCTCGTCATAAACCTTCCAAGATCTCGCTGGAAGATGCAACCAAGCCAGCAATACAGCTAGCCAAGAGCTCAGCCAGGACACAGCACAAGCTCTGCCCAAGGGAACCTTAGTCCTTTCTGTCTCTAAGGGCAGGTAGAGTTCTCCTTATCTCTGGAGACAGCAATAGTACCTTGTAAATTAGAGAGGACACGAAGGTGGTCTGTTTGGGAATCACAAAACAAACATTGATGCGATGTGGGATGTTATTCCGAACTTGCGGTGAAGACATGCTATTGGCACAAAACAGGGAGAGCTTTATTCTGCAGCTGCTGGTATCATTTTGAGCTGAACGGACTCAATATTGAGTGCCAAGAAGTCCAAAAGTGATCCACTCTTCAACATTGCTTCCCGTTGATCAACATGAAAACATTTGTTTATTTAAACAAAAAAATCTGTAATGTAGCAAATGAAGACTAATGGTTACATTATTTTATAATTTTAACTTGTGGCAAATTGTTCATACACGTTTCTAAAATGAATCTTAATTGATTCCACACATATCCAGCCCCAATTAGTACACATTTCTGGCTCTATCCTGGCATGTAAATTGTTACCAAGTTCCAGCAAGAAATAGCACAGCTTTTTAATATAAAGCACAATAGCAGCTTGCCTCAGTTGGAAGAACCTCTCTATTCTGCATCAGAAAGTTGTGGATTTAAGCCCTACTTCAGGAAACAAGCTCAGCAAGCTGACATATCAGTGCAGCACTGTAGGAGTCCTGTCCTTTGTATGCCACAAAGTCCCCATCTGAATGTTCAGAAGATGTCCATGTCAAAAAGAGGGAGTTTCTTGCGGGGTCCTGGGCAATGATCCAATTTTATATGAACGACTGCCAGAGCTATCTGTGCGACCTTGCTATGCAAACCAACTACCGTAATGCCTGCAAAAACAGTCACTACATTTCACAGGAATTACCTGTAAAGCACTTTTACACATTTCAACATTATAGACAGTTGTATGAAATGGAAAATTCATTGTTATGACTTGTAATTTCCCACCAACTATCTAGCTTTAGGCGAGGGAGGTGAGTTGGGGAAACAGATGAAGGGCTTCATCTATTTGCATCTGACAGGCAGAGGTATGCAAGTCCCCATCCCAGTCAAGTAGTTGACCTCTGCTAAGCAGTGTTACCGACACAGCATAGGTAGATAAATCAATGAAGTGCACCAGGCTCCCACTCTCTCTAGCGCAATATAAGCTTCACACTGCATTTACTTTACATTCATCTCAAGAAAGTGCAAACGACAGGATGGCAGTGCACACAAGTATTTAAAGTGTTAAAACATTTAGAAAGTTAAAAATCCTGAAAAATAAACCTCAGACAGATAAGAGTATTCTTTTACTTTGTTCAAATAAATGTAGTACGTTTCTAGACCTTGTGTTAAGATCTAAATTGACAATAAGTCTAGACGTCCATTGATTTCAGCCCACCTTCCCTCCTCCCACTATAACCAACACATCCATTTGACATGAACTTGTTTCTAACAGTCCATAGTCAGTCACTTATTCCAGTTTCCAGAAAATTCCTTTCACTGCATACAAGGAGCAATTCATTCAATCACAATCCACGATGACTTTGCAGGATCCCTTGGCTTTGCTGGTGATTCAAGAAATGCTTTTCGGGCCATGTGCAAAATACCACTGCCAATTCACTGAAAATAACTTTTGAAATCATTGTAAAAGATCTCAGCACTCAGAAAGTAGTTTGCTCGTTTAATGGGACCTTGACATAATTACTGAATCACCCCGGTTTCATAATGACAGCAACAACAAATTACATTCATATAGCGCCTTTCATGTCGGGAGGACGTCTCAAGATGCTGGACAGTCAGGGATTTGGAGCCGAGCAGGGGATTGGGATCAGGAGTGGTGGAGGGCAGTGAGGATACAGATTGGAGGCACGGTCGAAGAGAAGGATCTTGAGATGTGCCTTGAAGGAGGCAAGAGAGAGAGCAAGGCGAAGGGATGGAGTTCCAAAGGGTGGGCGCGGAGAGGCTGAATGCCTGACACTGATGATCGGGCGGTCCGGGCGCGGGTCATGGAGCAGGTCTGAGCCTGCTGCGGAGGGAGAGGACAGGTTGATATGGGGTTAGCAGGTCAGAGGTAGGAAGGAGCAAAGCTGTGGAGGACCTTAAAGGCGAGAACAAGGATTTTGAACTGTATCCTCTGGGGGATGGGGAACCAGTGAAGCCAAGCGAAGGTGTGGGTGATGGGATCACGGAGTCTGATGCGAGAGTTCCGGATGATCTGTAGCTTGTGGGGGGAGGAGTTGGGAAGGCCAACAACAGGCAGTTGGCGAAGTCAAGCCTAGATGTAACAATTGCATGGATGAGGGCCTCGGTGGCATGAGGGGAGTGGCAGAGCCGGGCGATGTTGCGGAGGTGGGGGAATGCAGAACGGGTTATGACTTCCTTTGTGTGTCGCTTTCAGGAACGGTTTACCTCGTGAGGTTCACCCATCACGGGAAATGGACAGTTTTCCTACCGCTGAACTGGGAAAACTCCTACCCACTGAGTGGTGGTTCTACCAGTTGGAAGTGCGGAGATTCAGCAGCGGGTGCTTATCTCTCTGTAGACTAATTAAGGTCACAGATCATTGTGAACAGTATGAAGATCATTAGAAATTCATTTTTATCATCTCCACTATCCAAATAATGTTAGTGGAGCAGTTTATTTTTTAAAAAAGGCGCAAAATTGCCCGACACTCAAAGCAGAATGGCGGAGATCTAGAATATAAACTTGTCATGAAATTCATGCACACATAGAGCAAATGTCATTTTTCAGCAAGCGGTCTCTGGAAGCCAAGTCTCAAATTGCAGCAATGCCTCTCGTTTGACACCTCATTTCGACAACAGGAAAACTATCCGTTTGCCACTACATGTTGCCTCCAGAGGCAGGCTTGCCTCCAAGGTAAACATTTAATGAAAACTCGGCATGAACTTGCCTGTTCCTGTCCTATATGGGAGCTCAGCCCAAAGACAGCATCTCAGACAGGCCACACCACAAATATTAATCTACCTTTCTTTGCTAGATGTGATTGACCCAGCTTTACAGGTTTTACTCTGATTATTTCACCATTCTCCGCCACCCCCACCATCCCACTGATTTAGTTTACATGGTGAATAAAGCTTGGATCCAATACGCGTCCACCATTTTTCAGTTCCCAAACATCTGTCACTAACAATACCCAAAGGGATTGCCTAAGAGCACAGGCAGGATACAGGCCACAAGCAGCTGTCCGCAAAGAGGCTTCTTCATTTGGACAACAAAAGTTTTGACAACTGAAACTCCTGGAACATGTCTCGATGGGTCAATGCCCCACATTCTGGATTAGATTTCAAAGTGTAGGCTGACATCCTAATATCAAGGGGGCAAGGGGAGGAAATGGGAAAAAAGAGAGCCACAATGCCTATTGCTATCTTTCGGATAAGATGGGAAACCGCAGTCCTGTCTGTCTGTTTTCAGATAGACATTAAAGATCGATGATACAATTTGAAAAACAGGAAGGGAGTTTTTCCCAGTATCGCAGCCAAAATCCTTCAGATTAAATGGTCATTCATCTCACAGCTGTTTATGAGATTTTGTTGGCTCAAACAACTCTAAATGCTCACAGAAAGAGTCACTACACTTAACAGTAATTACCTTGTGAAGCACTTTGAGACACTATCAGATCAGGCACTATATAAATCCAAGCCTTTCCTTTCTTTATTATGCTGCTACACCTTTATAAACACAACTGTCTTTATTCAAAGTGAGCTATAACAACAATAAAATTAATAATGCTTGCATTTGGCATACTCCTTATCACATCGGAAGGACGTATCAAAGCGCTTCACAGGAATTACTGTGAAGGTTCGAAGGAATAAGGTGAATGATTCAACTCATATGAAATTGCATGCCTGTGATCCCACACTGATCTGCTCCTCCTCCGATGTAAAGAGGACGTCTCTTTGAACACTTACACTGAAGCACTAGGATCAGAAACAAAAAACATAAGCAAACCTGGTCCACCCAGCTCATCTTACCTGGGACTGATTGATAGCAGTGTGATTGCCGTGTAACGGAGACTGACGATCCTTCTCCTTGTTGTGCCGGCTGCTCTGTTTACTGCGCTGGAGCTGCTGTCTCAGTTTGGCAATCTGCTGTCATTGGAAACAATCAAAAAGAAAAATACACAATAAGAACCTACAAACTGACAAAAAACAGTCCACTTTAATAACACCAGCACATAATGAACTGGAAATCAACTCTCTTGGCCATTTCCCCACATTAACTCAGCGAGCAGGTACAGTACACGACTCTCATGTCATCTGCTTCCTGGGTACCTTCCCTCAACTTATTGCAATGCATTCCGGTTAACATTTAAATGTAAAAAGCTAATCTCCTTGACTCAACAATAACAAACTGCACACATATATATATATATATATATATATTTATATATAGTGCCTTGTATGTCAGGAAGATGTCCCAAGACGTTGGACATACGAGAGTTTGCACCAGAGGTGCGGGTTGGGATCAGGAGGGGTGGAGGGTGGGGTGGTGGAGGTCGGGGGTGACCAAAGGTACAGCTTAAGAGGAAGGTCTTGAGACCTTGAAGGCAGCAAGGGAGGGTGTGAGGCAGAGGGACTCCAAGATGGAGTTCCAGAGGGTGGAGCAGAAAGGATGAAGGCCTGACCACTGATAGTGACGCAAGCAGGGCGGGGGACATGAAGCAGGCCAGTGTCCACCAAGCAGAGAGAGTGAAAAGGGAGTGGCAGGGGTGAGCAACGTTGTGGAAGGCTGAATGGGTCAAGGAACGGATGTGGGTTGAAGGACAGTGGTTCTGTACTGGCTCAGTGAGTTCGGAGTGTGCACCCATGCATAGTGATGCTGTCAGAGCCTGAGGTGTGGAAACGCTGATGGGAGCCAAGCAGGAGAGCTTTGGTCTTGTCAACATTCAATTAGAGAAAATTGGTTGGCATCCAGGACTTGATGTCTGACAGGCAATCAGGACCGCAGTGGTCCTGGAGTCGAGGGTAGAGGCAGATTCATAGAGTTGGGCATCTTCCGAGTACATGAGGAAGTTAATCCCATGCCTGCGGATGATATTACCGAACGGGAGCTTCAAAGGAAGTGATATCAGTGGCACTTTGTGGACATAATGCACATGCGCAGCAAGTGTCATCAGTAGCAACCAGACGACCTGGAAGTCAGCCAAATTTTTGCATTCAATTTATAACCCAGCCTCTGGGACATTGGACCCTGATGAATGCGTTAAAATAGAGCTGCCCTGTAGTATTCTTGGCATAGACGACCCTGTAGGAAGCTCAAATACAAAGAAGGCTGCTCTCCTAAGTATACGTGAACTTTACAAAATTATTGAATACAACAAATCTGCAGTAAGAAGTTGTTCTCATCACATTATCACAGAGTGCAATAATAGGTCACAAGTATTATATAATATGCTCAAGGAATCTCCAGTTCTTCTGTGGAATTCAATAATTAGCACACGCAATGTGCAAGATACATGGACAACATGCACCACCATTAATACACACAGAATTTTATTTTCAAAAAACAAAAAAGCTCACAACTCGGCTGCAATTCTCTTTACCTGGATTTCTCTTCAGAGCTTTTTTTTTTAAAAAATCAACTTTAAATAAAACTTTCCAAAATCCAGCGAGAGGCAGTATGGCTTAATACACCACGTTGCAGATTGAAATCAGAGCGGCAACTCATGAAATATTCAGCCCCTATGAGAAATTAGAAACGCAAGAAATAGAAACATGAATACCAACCAAAATTCGAAGACTGGCATGGCCTAGATACGCCTAAGCTCTCACCGAGCCTTGCACTGCAGTGTCTGGCACATCAACAGTGCAACTTATACCACTGCAACAATGAGGGCCAGAGCTGGGCTGGAGAACAAAAAGGGAGGGCTACATGCATGTATATCTGAGCATGTACATATAGAGCTCTCCACAACAGAAAGATTTTTTTAAGTGATTGAGAAAGTTGCCAGGACAATTAGCTCTTCATAATCCTCAGATAAAGAACTGCACTAAAGATGCCAAACGATTATATGGAAAAACATTTAATTTGGTTACTCAATCCACGACTGTTTTTGGGAGGCTGCTTTGCACAATGGGCTGCCTTTTCTCGCCCACAAAATACAGTCAATCCATATTTTGCAAAGATGAAACTCAAGATCCACCTTCAAACGTCGACGATCTCATCCCACCCTACCTCTGCAAACTCCTTCAACCATACCGACCTGGCCGCTCCCTTCACTCAGCGAGAACCAGCTTGCTCCATCCTGGAGTCCCTCCAACTCGCTCTCTCCCTCAGCTTGTTCAAGGTCAGCCTCGAGAAGCATATCTTTGATCACACGTCATCTACCCACATCCCCATCAGCTCCCACCTTCAGTCTGATTGACAGACATTGCAGAACAGACTTTGTTGAACAATTGCCCAAAAGTTACGAAGTAAACATCAGGGAAATGGAGTGGAAAAGGAAGTCTGAACTGAACTTTCAAAGATCAGCTTGAACATGGAACATGGGAAAATGACAGGGAAAATACAGCCCAATTCAATGTGTACACTGCAAATTAAACTCATAGTCTGAGCCGATACATAGTTTCATACTCGCTAAAACATCTTTCCACAAATGCAGACTGGCAGTGTGTGGTTACCACACAAAAGGGTCTTTCCGTTGCTAGATGAACCCAGAATGTACACCACAAGGGAGCTTCAGCTGCCAATTAATACAATATTTTCCAGTTGTGGATAAACTACTTCAACTGGGCAAATAACCAAAAAGTAACACTACACCCCATCCAAGGGAAGAAGTTCAGCTTCCTTGTCCCACCCTACACTCTGAAGCGGTCATTCTTTGATTAAGTACCATAGTGGTGTTTGAATGTCTAACGTGCAAAAGACAAGGTGTAGCAGACGCTATAGAAACACAACTCACAAATACAAGCATCATAAAGACCACTCGCTGGATAACATAAATTTGGGCATCTCTTGTGGGGCAGTGAAAAAAACAGCGCTGAAAGAATTGTTTCTTGGTTCCAATATGTTTTCCCAGTTTATGCCACTTAGAGGAAGGAGGGTCTGCAAATAAGTGGCTGGGAGTTAAACTTTTGGCACAAAAACTAAATAGTGCAGTTAGAATGCATTTCTTTTTAACACAGTTTGGATGGGAGAGGCAATGACTTCCTTGAAATAAGGAGGAGGAAGAGGAGACCTGTGGCTATCAGGAAAGGCTGGCGTTTAGGCTGAAAGGAGAAAGGATAATACATAAAAAGGGGGCAAATGGGAAATACATTTTGAAAGTTAATTCAAATATGTTTATGCTACCTCAAGGAGCATTAGGAGTAAAAATTTTCAGAATTGCAGGAATATGCAGCCATACATGGCTGAGAGTGAAAAACAACTCAGAGATGGAGCTTGGAGGATAATGTTTTTTACAAGGATAGCTGAAGCTGCAGGCAGAGGAGGGCATAATTTGTAAAAAAAAATAATACTATTGAGAAGCCATCTGAGTATGTTAGCAACAATAAAGGCAACAGTTCCATAATTGGCAAATGCTGTCAACCTCTAGCTCAAGCTGAACAAGTAGATAAAAAGCTGTTTAGGCAGGTAAGAGTAGTTCTGGAGGTCATATTGTGATCATCAGGGAGATTTCAGCAGGCAGAACAGGATCAAACAGAAAGAAAGGGTGAATATACAAGAAACAGTGTATAGAGATAATCTGTGGCTGCCTCTTAATGAAACACAAGATCCTCAAGCCTTCACTTCCTAAAATACAGGGGAAGAAAACATTTGTAGAAAGACTAAACAGCAAATCCAAAAACAACAAAAAATAAACTCCACAAGTTGAATAAAGCAATTAAAGCAATTGGTAGCAATTATAAGACAAACCTACAAAACTAAATAACCAGGTGCAGTGGTCACCACCACAATTTATTCAGCCTGTAGTTATAGTTTCCTGAAAATCTCCTTCCACATTCCCAGACTGCTTAATTCATTGACAGAGAACAGACATCAGTGTACTCTTAAGCCAATCATCAAGAGGTTAGTAGGAGTGATCTGAAGAGATTCATCATCCAGCTTTTCTAAGAAGAGTTTAGCTTCCGGTAGATAACAGCAAATAAACAAATAAAAGCAACAACTTCCTTTATATAGCATCTTTCACTTCCAGGCGTGGACAGTCAAGGGTTTACACCTGAACCGGGATTGGATTCAGGAATAGTGGGGGCCAAGGAGATGGAAGATGACCGAAGCAGTGGTCAAAGAGGAAGGTCTTGAGGAGACGAGGGAAGGGGTGAGGCAAAGGGATTCCGGGATAGAGTTCCAGAGAATGAGAGCAGAAAGGATGAAGGCCGAACCACCAATGGTGATGCAGAAGGGTGGGGGACATGGAGCAGGCCAGTGCTTCCGAGCAGAAGGAGCGAGTGAATTGGTAGAGTTTTAGCAGGTTGCAGAGGTAGGGTGGGGCAGAATCATAGAGGGATTTAAAAGTAAGAATGAAGATCTTGAACTCGATTTTCTGGGGGATGGAGAGCCAGTGAAGCCGGGCAAGGATGTGGGTGATCGGCTCACAGAACCTAGTGCAGAAGCGGATACAAGCTGCAGAGTTCTGAATGGTCCGCAGCTTGTGAAAAGGGAAGAGGTGGGAAGTCTGGCAAGTAGATAGTTAAAATAACCAAGCCAGGACATGATAAAAGCATGGATAAGGGTCTCAGCAGCCCAAGGGGAGAGATAGTGGCAGAGATGGGTAATGTTGCAAAGGGGGGGGGACCTGAACAGGTAAAAGGTACAGATGCGAAGTTGAGAGGTGAACAAGATCCAGAGGTTCAGGATTGGCTCGGTGGAATGTGTATCCATGTAGATTGTTGCCGTTAGCACCTGTGGAAAAGCCTCTGTCTTATCGACATTCAACTGGAGAAAGTTAGCTTTCATCCAGAACTAGATGGGTCAGAACAGTAGCGGTCCTAGAATCGAGGGTGGAAGCAGATACAAAAGTGGTTATCATCCGAATACAAGTTAACACCATGCTTGCGGGTAGAAGAGGACTAAGGATAGAGCTCTGAGAAATGCCACACAACGATGTGGGGGCTGGACAAGTAGCCATTCCCAGATATGAAATGGAGAT